TAAGCTTAAAAACTAGATTATGTAATTTTCTAAAAACACACTACACTATACTACACTATAAAAACTATAAAATGTAGTTTTTACAGCTCTAGGATTATAAGAGCTTATAAGGACCCACTTTTTATGTTAGCTTATAGTATAAGATTTATACTATTTATCCGTAAAATTTATAATCTTATAAGTATTTTATTAAATTTAATATAATTTTTTATATTCGAAACTACAAAAACTACAAAACTACAAAACTACACTACTTCTAATGCTCCAATTATACCCTTAATAGCACGCATTAATTAAAGAAGCTTATGTGAGACCTTATAATTAAATTTAATAGTATATTAAAGAGTATTAAGCTAATAAAGCAGCTATAAATAAATAAAATCTTTAATTATTTTTATAGAAGCTTATTAAATATTATAGGCGCTTATAAGTAGCTTTTATAGCTAAGCTTAACCTAATTAACCTCTTTATAGCTTAAAAGAGCTTAAATCCGTTATTTTTTACATTTTTATTAAATGTATATACACTTAAAGGCCTTTTAATAGCTAAAATTAAATATATTTACCTTTATAAAGCCGTGTGACATGAAAAAAATCATGCTTTCATGCCCGTACAAGCAATTTACATGTAAAGGTCTGGGTGGGGACTGTCCCGGTGTTTTGTGGCTGTCCCGGAATTTTGTGGCCAACTAAGTGGCTAGCCCACTTAGTTGCCAACGGGTAGTATCATGAAATGCACAATGTGCAATGGTGGTTGGTGCTTTATCGTGTGATGGATTGCGATGCAGACATGCATCAGACGTAGGCGAGGTGGATGACTGACGATGGATGCATCCAAGCTCCAAAGCTTGATGGAATCCATCTACTCCGTATTCGCAAGGCCTTCTCTTGGGGAACAGATTCAATGTTTGATTTGAGCCGCCAAGGCATCCGTCACAATTGTCAGCCTAGGTCGGTGTGTGTGACTTGAATCAAGGCGGAAGCTGTACTCTGTACGGAGTAGCTCATGTGGGTATTTAAAATGAGCTCCCAACTCTCACCAGTACTATGTGCATAAATCATCATCACGTTGAATCTGTTATCAGTGTGCTGCGTACTCGGCGCGGAATCTTGTTACACACCCATCCTGGCCAGCATGTATGATGAAGTTACACGGCGAGTGGCGTCGCGCTGTACATTCGCAATAAGCACTCCGAGTGTGTCCAAGTACGATGCCAAATGGACGACCTTCTCCTTTCACATCGGCCATCACAAATCAGTGTTGCTCCTCCAAGTGGCGAAATGTTCCGTTTCTGAATTACGTGGTAGTTGCATGGCTCACGATTAGATTATGCAAAAAGGGTTGACGGGCAAATTGCCCCTTGGCGCCCCGGCACGACATCATATCCCCCAAGGAATGGGGGCGCGGCTATGTTTGCTTTTTCCCCTTCAATGTTCCAACACTTTTTCAACAGAGCCATGATTTGCCGACATACGGAACCAACGCGCTACTACTAGTATTAGTACTATTAGTATATGCCGAACCACCGGATTTTACATCTACACAGAGTACTACTATGCATACAGCATAGCTTCTTGTTGAACACCATGAACCTAGTTCGCACACACCTGGCTAATGGGGACTTCCAGAGGCAAGCATGAATTACTCGAGGCTTGACTCGCAAGCAAGACAGACCCAGACTCGAAGAGGCAGGTCGAAACGCCGAATTTGGTCGCCATTAAAGCACTAACACAGACGTGTCTCAGGCGAACCTCGCAGCTCGTCCTTGACACTTGTTCTAACAGAGCCGAATGCCCATTCCTGTACAATAGGATCCCCAAACGAAGCTTATGTGACATGTGCATTGGGCCACTTTACGTGTATTCGTCCGTCTTCCTTGGTGATATTTGAACAGAGATGGCGCTGCTGAAACATGGCTGCACGATTCCCCCATGAATGACCCTGGATGCTGTACGAAACCGTCTCGGCGCACAAGCCTGGGGAACATGGACCAGGTTGCGAATACCCAGACGGACGGTTACCCCCGGGCTCTCTGCAAGCCCTTGCCGTCCCAAGGTTGAGATGAGTGAACTTTGGTTGTTTGGCGTACCGAGCAGACTTGATAGCGTAGTCACGATGCAACTGCACCATAGTGGCCCATCTTACAGCGCGGGGATTTGTGCGGGGGCCCGTATGTATGTTCTCTTTATCTGATGCTATTATGACATTTACTCGGATATTATGGCATACAACGAGTGTGATGGATGCGTTGGACCGTCCATGGTGTACCCTTAAAGCCTCAAAGCTCGATACGATGGATCGTTCCGGGCTTCACGTCTGAAGCACGAGCAACAGGACGGCACAGTAGCGCCTACGCAACTACAGGGTATTGGTACAAGATGGGCGCCGTTCCAATAATGTTCAAGTTGAAGTATCGCGAGCACATCTGATGCACGATGTAAACGCGCATCAGCGCCGCCGTGTGTGTGCTCATGTGCTGCCCCTGCAGCAGCGCAGGCCGCCGTCTGGGGGAAGACTCCCAAGTGCAGATGCACCAGCCCATGCCCAAATCTCGCAAGGCGCTGAGAAGAGGGCAACTAGTGGCTGGGAAATAATGAAAACGTTGAAAAGCAAGGGACGCGGATGGTTCCATGGGTTGCTTGATGCTTTAAGGAACCTTGTCGCCGGCCAAGGTGCCCGTCATGAGGCACCGCGGCAAGACAAGATATGACTCTGGTGTACTCTGTGAGACTTCTTTATGCTGCCAATACCGTACAAGCACGGATTTTTTTTCTTTTCTTGTCTTGTGCTTTTTTCTTTTGCCTTTTCACTTGGAGTTGAGTGATGGCTCGTCTCTTCACCCTCGCTTGTTGGCTTGAGATACGAAGTGTCTCAGTTGTCCCCATCTCTTCCCATCGCCCGGGTCAGCAGCGTCAGCCACTCAGACTGCAGTGCGCATGATCATGCTGTCTCCTCAGTGGCCCATGCTTGAGGTTGTCACTATGGAGCACTCGGCATTAGATGGGGGCGAAGCTGGCAAGTTGGTGTGCGTGGGTATGGCGCACAAAGAAAGCCGAAAGTGCTCATTACTAGTAGTTATCATGAGGTGAAGGTGTGCTTGTGACGGCCCTCCAAGTAATTGGCCGCGTCTGTGACATGGGAGGGGATCGCATCGATTAACATTGGTCGTCGCTGCGCGTGTTGACAGCGTAATTCTAGACTGGAATAAAACGGCATGACCATCGACTTGCGATTGGCCGCGCAGTTCTATATTCAGCAGCGGAGAGAGCCTTTGGCCTGCATAACCAGTGTGAGAGCACTCCTTTATCTCTTTTCCCAGACAACGGCAATCCCAGTTGGCCAAGCAGGCCAGACACTCAGCTTACGGCAACGGCGCAGCCACAGTCTCGGTGTTGGAGTGTGCCTATATACATTTTGTGTCTATGCGAGTGTGTGATGTATGTATGGAGTGATAAAGGCGGCAACCGTGGAAAACCTGCTTCTAATGTTGCGTGGGCTGTGCTCGTGACGGCAGCACTGCAGGTCGTGAAGAGATTGGCCGCCGTTCAGCCTCGGTGTCTGTTGAAGTGCAGCAGTTCGGAGGTTGCTCCCTGTTGCATTGTATCGTACATAAATAAGTTAACTACAAACAGGACGGAGTAGGGAGTATTATCCCATGTTCCCTCGGGAGTTAACGACGACCCTGGTGTCCACATGACATGCCGGCTGTCCTTGGTCGACGCGAACCCTCGCCACAACAGACCAATCAGGGCACTGCTTCAGGCGAGTTTGAGAGCTGGTGGAAGGAGCCATCTGGACCCTGGGCGTGTTTTGGAGGGGTGGCAGATGGACACAGTGGGGCGTGGGCTGAGCACTCAAATGTTCTAGGAGCACGTACGTATGTGGACGGTGTTGTAGCTAGGGCGACTGGGTGGTAACATGATAAAAGAAAAACACAAGAATACAGATAGGGGCACGAGAACTAAACAGAGCAGAAGCATCTGTGAAATGGCGCCATGGCCCATGAAGCGTGTGGAAGTTTGCGCCACGGCGACAAGGCAATAATCTCATCTGCTTGAGCCTGCGCCTGCGCCTGCGCTTGCTCCAGCAACCCGCACACAACATTCACCAGGCGACCTTGACTGCCCAGACACGGCACCCGGGACCAGTCAACTGTCAACCACTGGGCAGAGACGCACGTCACGGCCGCAAGGAAGGCAGCACCGCAGGCACAACACAGGCACAGCGACAGGGCACTAGACTGCTCGAGAGCGCAAAATTTTCGTCTCTGAATGCCATGCACTGGCAAATCAATTCCTCCTCCCCCATTCCCGCAGACTTTTCCCTCGCACCACATTAATCCGCTTGTCAAACACTGGCACATCGTCCGCCGAGCAACGCAATTACCGGCTTGACGTGCTTCGGGGCCCATAATAATATCGATAAAGGCACGACATCCCGTTGTCCGCTGCAACTGTTTAAAATTTCGCATTTTCTGTCGCGCACTGGAGCATTGCTCATTATCCTCCGACCTTGGGAACTCATTGTCCTGCCTCGCGAGCCCCTGCGGCGTACAGCCCACCGCCGACCATCTACCATCTCGCTTTCCTAGCTTCTTTGGCTCATTGAACGCAATTTCAATTCTCATTCCGCCAGACTCGCCTGACATACACCACACACACACACACACTCATCTCAGGTCTCCGCCTTGTCTGTGTCTAAGCAGCCCGCCTGTCCCCCCCTCCATCTTTGCCATTCCAATTCCTTCATTTAGTAACCAGGGGCTTGTCCTTTTCGACGTCAACTGTGTGCCTCCGGCTGGACCTGAAACGCATTCCTCTTGTCTGGCCACCCCCTCGGTACGGAGTACTCTTCCCAAACAGCTTGGTAGCAGCACCTCCGCCAGTCTCGCCGATATTCACTGCCGGCCAGGTCACTCGCTTGAGCGGGCTTTCACAATATTCCCGTCACTTCTCAGTCCGACATTGACCATTGGGGAACCCCCCACCAACTGGACGGCACCTGGTATCGATAGCTTCGATTCCTCGAGTCCCCTGCAGAGCAAGGCCCTGAGACTGCTCAGGCGCTTCGAGTTCTGCCGCTTTATTGCGCCTGTGCTCCCCAACACCATCCCAATCCAACAAGGAAGGCCCCTCGTTCTGTTCGAGGCTCAAGGTTCTTGTGCCGTCCTTGGCCTCTCGTGGGCGGCTTCACACCCCATCTTCGCCTCCTCGCATCCTCCACTCATACACCAGCGTTTGGCTTCTTTGCGAACAATAAGCCTCCGCCCGCTACTCCCGCCTGCCTGTTCAACAGCCCTTGGGCCGCCTCATCACACACTCGAGCACCGCGTCCACTCACACTCTGCCTCTGCCCAACCCAAGCGACGTCCTGACCCAATCACCAGCAAGCCCGGTATTACGACCAAAAGAATGGTCTCCTTTCAGTGTGAGGTGAGTGAGGCTAATCCCAGTCCGTTTCCTCTTCCATTCTTGTCCCATTCCTGGCGTCCTGTCCTCCCACCCCAACCAGGCCTGCCTCGTTTGACCACTACAATGAATACCTTGGAGTGCCTGGCACCATCATGCCACGCTCTCATGTTTCCAAGGCGCATCACACCTCCCACCACACACTGCACCACACCCCCCTCCATCATGCCAAATGCCATCCAGCCCTGACATCACTCCCGCGACGCCGAGAAGCAATCGCCATATGCTGGCTGATGGCTGATGGCGCTAGCACTACGGAGAGAGAAGTGTGTGTTTGTAAGGAGGAGTCCTTTTGTCTCTTTGACCAAGCAATATCATATGCCCTGCCCTGTTCGGATGATCCCTTCTGTGTTCCGCTGATCCCCTGGCCCACCCTCCGTTTTGCTTGTCTCTGAACATCCCTCCCCTTTCAAAAGCACACGCCCCCTAGTACAGTGATCTGGCTTATGATATAATACCCTCCTCCCGCGCGTCTCATACTTGCCACTGTGAATGTTTTTTTTTTTTTCAACTCAACTAAACTTCTCATATCAACAGGCGTGTGGAGACGTCTTAACAAAAAAGAAACTCGATCCTCACCGCAATCGTTGTCACGGGGCTTCCTTTTCCTGTCTCGATTGTATGGTCCATTTTGAAGGTTTACAATACCGCTCTCACACTGTATGTGTCACTTCATGAACCAGCTTTCACCACAAAGTGTTTGCCGCGACGTCGACTTTTGGATCACATGACATCTAACATCCCGTTAGTCCTGCATAACCGAAGATCAAAAATACCAAGGTGCATTGTACAAAGAGAAGAACAAAAAACCCAAGATCAACCACCACAAACCCGACGACTCCCGGTACCAGCATCAAGACGATCGACCCAAGAACATGGCCCTGCAGCCTTATGTTGAAGACATTGGGGAGGACCGAGCTTACGAGCCATGGAACGACTCTGTTGGACAGACCGAAGATGAACCATCCCCGGCCGAAGGGCTCCCTGAAGCCCCTACACCTCCTGCCGCCGCTACCGAGGATCATGTCAATGTGTTTGATTACCTTATCGCCACCGGCCAGACTCCAAATGCCTCCAACATGCACCTCCCCATGGACCAGGAGGGACCGGAAACCAGTGACAGCAAATCGTTGGTGCGATACGAGTGCGATGCCTCGAAGTATCTTGTGGAGGATGGTGAACCCCTAGTTCAGTACGGTTCCGGCCCCGTGCATACGGAACCGGCATTTGTGACTCCAGGTTCCAAGACCGAGCGACGACGAAGCCGAGAGAGAGAGCTCAAGAAGGACAAGAAGCGCAAGCGTCTCCATGTTGATGTTCCCGGCGATCGGATCATGACGGACGCGCCGCCCGTTCTGCACTCTGGGCTCACTGGTGGCTTGAAAGGGTTAATGCGGCCTGCATACCCTCCGACCCCCGACTATTCTGGCGGCGACGTCGGCGGGAATTCTCCTGCAAGCCCTCTGAAGAAGACCAAACACTCAAAACATTCCAAGGGCGGGCGCATTGACAGCCTGTTCGGTGTCATGAACAAGTCGTCCAAGAAGAAGTCGAAGCATTCTCACCGCCACGGGGAACACAAGGATACCAAGCTAATTGAATACCGACCGCAATCCAAGGACGGCAAGGCTGGTGAGAATCGAGGCCGTCAAATGGTTGTATACAAGCCACGTGCTGATGCCTTCCTCTCTTTGGTGAATAAGGGACCTGAGAGCGAAAAGGGATGCAGCATGAACAAGGCCTTGAAGCGATTCCACCGCGCGCGCCAAGCCTCCGGTTCCAACTTGCCCAAGTCCACCGAAGAAAAGGAACTTTGGCGAAACTTGCGCCTGCGCCGGAACGATCGCGGCGAAATTGTGGTCTTCACTATCGAGTAATGAAACTAGCGTGTCCGCCAAAAAAAGTCTGCAGCGACAATTCTGGAGTTTTTGGAGTTTACATTGTCGGGCTACACCTGACATTTCAAGATACCTGCATGGAGCACATCATCCGCAACTGCATTGCGCATTCCTATGTTGTTTGAACGAGCATTTCTTTTTGTCGTGAGGTGACGAGATGGCATTAGACTATTTCTTTGGCCTTTCTTTTCAACGTCGCAGGATGGAAAAGGATTCGAGTCGGTGGGTCGACTTGAAGTACCAAAAGATCAAACCAAAAAAAAAAAAAAACACCAAAACTTCTAGGGCTTGAATAACGAAGCTCCAAAAGGACACCATTATCTGGCTTGGTGTCAGTCTAGAAGCAAGCGAGGTCGGTTGACATGACTGTCAGACTATCGTAACTTCAAAGGACGGTATGCGCGAGGGGTGTACTGGGCGAAAATGATGATGATTCGGGAGAGTAATGATACCATGGAAGGAGATTTTGTCGAAGACTGAGTGTTGTATGAAGACACTATTCAGCAAATGGGACATGTGAGGGAGATGTAGTTGATACTTTCTTTCAATATCACACGTTTCACAACTTTGTTTGGGTTTTGGTTTCACTTTTCTTTTCATTGCTGTATAACTAGCATTATTAGTGTACGAGAGCATTCCCTCCATTGGAGACATGGAATCTGCGTGTATATTATTATTGGTGTAGATTGATCTGGGTTGTCTCCCAATTGTAATTTTTGACTTTTTGAAAACAGTGCACTTGGTGTGTGTCCCTGTACGTGCTGTCTATGTCGATGACTCCCGCAATCACACTGGCTTTCAATGACTCGACGCAACGGGGGACAAGTAGTGGGCCTTGTTACCGTTGACTATATGGGAGCTGTTTGAGACGGTGAGCGCATTTGGCTTCCTACATGTATCAAAGTGTGTGGGGATGAGCATCATTCAGCATGCCAACCGTCTCTATTCCGGACGATGTGATTTTGGTGTTGTGGGGAATTCTGGCAACTGTTGTTGATGGCAGCGTGTGGCTATTTTTTTTCTTTTTTTGAGAATGCGCTCTGTGTGGTGAGCAAGACGCGGTGACGGGGAGTGATGGTGTGTTGTGATTTGATGATGCTGTTGGCAATATCTGCGTCTAGATGGACATGTATGCTAGATTGCACGGAAGAGGTTCCCAAGGAAAAAAAGAAAGCCAGATGGCAAGATGTGGAATTCGAAATAAATTCCGAATTAGTATGGTTTTTATTCTTTTTCTTTTTTTTCCCCGTCTGTCTACTGCCGCAGGGCTTTACATGACCCTCAGGGGCAGAATGTGCTGCACCATGGCCTCCCTCCTGCACAGCGGACACTCGGGCTTCTCCCTCACCCAGTCCCCTATGCACTCCCAGCAAAAGACGTGTCCGCACTGGGTTGCCGACGGGTCCTTCATCTCCTCGAGGCAGAGGGTGCACTTGCGCTGCTGGGAACCCCTGATGTAGCCCATTGCCCGGGCGTGGGCCAGGTCGAAGCGCGGCGACGGAGAGACGGGCGTGTGGGTGGTGAGGGCGAGATCGACCCTGCTCTCCTGGGGCCCGCGGGCGCCCAGCTCCGCGAGGAGCAGGTCGCTGTTTGCCGAGTAGGAGTTTGCGTGGTCGAGGGAGACGTCGGCGGCGGCCGGGTGGGCGTTGCGCTCGCGGGCCTCCCTGCCCGCCTGGCTGCCCTTGCGGCGGAGCGCGTCGAGCCGGCCGTCGATGAGCCTGCGCAGGCGGCCGCGCAGGCCGGGGAGCGCGCGGCCGGCGAGGTACGGCAGGAGGATGGTGCCCGCGATGTAGGCTGCGCGCTTCCTGACGTCTGGGAGCCGGCCGGTGGGCGATTCCACCTGCACCAGGTCGCAGTATTCTTCGCCGAGGGTCCGGTTGCCCGGGAGCGTGGTGAGCGCGAAGTAGAGCAGGGCTGCGAGGGAGCGCAGCTCGGGCGCGAGCGAGTGTGTTGCGCGGGCGCCGAAGAGCCGGCGGTAGAGGTCGCTGATGGTGTTGGCTAGGTGGCCTGTAAAGTAGGCGTCTTTTTGGTGCGCGCGCACAATGTCTGGTGCTGCGGCGAAGGGGTAGGGCGACGCTGTTGGCGATGCCGTTGGCGAGGAGGGCGGTGGTTTCGAGGCCATGGCGGCCCCGGGGGTAACTGGGGCCTTTTCTTTTTCTTTTTCTTTCTTCCTTTTTTTTTAAGAAAAGAAAAATAAAGAAATAGGGATTTGTCGATGCTGGCTTGCTGTTGTTTTGTTCGTGATATGGTAGATGTGATGGTCAAGTCGAAAGGATGAGGTCGGAGGTCGGCTGCTTGGCCTCCCCCGGATTCTGATTTCCTGTCCCGAGGTCCAATGGAGTGTGGGGGAATGCCGGGCCAGAAACGGCAGGCGGTGGAGACTGGGGTGGTTCAAATTCGATGTCTTGCCATTTGCAGTAACCCATGGAATAGAAATGTGTTATTACATGAGGTGTGGTCTGCAATTGCCCTCTAAATATCGGGTTCAAATCAAGTTGTAGGTGGACTATGCGAACAACACAAGGTCAGGCACACGAGATGACCCAAGTCTACTCGGCCTGGCCTCCAATGATCCTGTGCGTTGGTAGCTTGACCGAGCGAGATGCCCCGAGTATCGTTTACTCGAGCACACCGTATACGCATGGGGCAACCAACGGGGGTGACATTGTACACAGTTTATAAGCCCATGCTTACCCTTTTTTTTTTTTATGAACCCACGAACCCCCTTATCCCAGAGCGATCCCTAATTGTCTAGCTACAAGAGTCCCGTAAAAGGAAGCTCCTGTCCAAATCCACCCAATGCCTGCAGTCCCTGGCGATGGACAGGCAATATGTTAGTGTAGTTGGCTCAGTACTTCTTTGAAAAAAAAAGAAGAAAGAAAGAGAAGAAAAGAAAGAAAGAAATCGATGTATAAGTAAGCAAACCCGTGCTAAGACGAGCGTAGTAAGACCAAGCCATAGTGCCAAACAAAAGAAGCAATGCACCCTAATGAATGTTGAGCCTAGAGAAAAGTGGATCTCGAGCCAGCCACGGCGGGGCGTGACGTAGCTCCAACGAAGCCCAACGTGTCGTGTCTCGTGGCCCCCTGAGGAAAAAAAAAGTAGACATTGCAATCTACAACTTCATCTCACGGGACAACGATTGCCCTTGTGCTCTACGACCCGCGCACCGCTCTTTTACTGCCGGGCACCCATCTACTTCTCACCACTCGTTTACACCACTTACCACCTGCGTCCATGACGCGCCGCCACCATGGACGGTGATCCAGCAGTCGAACCCGAACTCGACGCCTTCAGCCTCGTATTCCCTCTTCCCTATCGCGTCGGCTTCATCGCAACACTAGGTCAGTTCCTTGTCTCCCGCCCCGAGCGAGCTTCCGAATCGTACAAGGAGCTAAACCAAACCAAAACGCCCAGCCGTCTGGGGATGGGGCCTCAACCTGCACTACTTGTACCTGGCCAAAGTCGACGTCCCGGCGTTGATACGCTACCCGGGCCGCTCCTCGCCGCACCACATACCGCACCACTTCTCGACGTACCGCCTCGCGACCGTCCTCTCGGGCCTCTTCGCCGTGTCCATGGTGCTCTTCTGGCTGTGCACGCGGGGGGCGGCGTCGCGCGTAATCGACTACGACTGGATACCCATGACGTACCTCGCCGGCATCGTCGCCGTCTTCCTGGTCCCGCTGAAGAACCTGCCCAGCGGCGGGAGGCGGCGGTTCCTCGCGACGCTGAAGCGCGTCAGCGTAGGGGGCATCGCGGAGGCGCAGGACGGCAAGTTTGGCGACATTCTGCTCGCCGACGTGCTGACGTCGTACGCCAAGGTGTGCGGCGACGTGTTTGTGACGCTGTGCATGTTCTTCACGGCGGGCGGGTCGTGGACGAGGCG